CACCAGAGCTTGGGCTCCAGGGGGGAACGGGCAAGGGGGCGAATATCAGGAGACAGAGGTGCTCTCCTGGCGGCCGTGGCCATTGCCAATCTTCGCCCTACACGGTGGAGATTTACCTAAGAGGTATTTGAGTTCCCAGCCATGATGTCTGGCTAATAACTCCTCCCCCGAGGCTGGTCCTAGAAACTTTGATCTCCCCTGATCTCCCCCGCCTGCAGCCAGTCTTCTCTGACCTAGGGGTCTGATGGAGGTGCTGAGGTCTCATTCCACAGAGTCCTGCCTCCAGCCCCGGAGGGAGGGAGGCTACAGGGAGGGAGAGGCCAAAAGAATCTAACCCAGCAGGCCTCGTTGGATTTCCTCTGTCAGACAGACATCTTCAGTGTGAGAGCAGAGGGAAAGGAGTTGAGAAATAAACAGGAAAGGTGTACTCGTAGCCAGGAGCCTGTGCTCACCCCTGTCATCCCAACTACTTTGGAAGTGGAAGCCTAGATCTCAGGGAAGACCTGTCATCCTAACCACAGAAAACTCACCAGGCAGATCTTGGCGTAGGCACTCACCCAGGCAGGAGGAAAAAGCCTATCTCAAAAACAAGAAAACGCAACAAAAACTAGCGCTGGGAGTGTGGCCCAGGAGTTCTTAGAGTGCGGGCTGAGCGAGGCTGAGGCCCAGAGTTCAAACCTCAGCACCACCAAAGGACAGAAGGTCTACTGGTGACACAGAATGGTATGGAGACAGGGCCCGAGCTTCTGGCTGTGCTGGCTGTCATTTCAATACATATTATTTAAGGAGCAGAACTTAGGTTCTGTTTCTTGCAGTTTGCTATTAACTGTGTATACCCATGTAAAAATCGCGGGCTCTCTCTTTCTGGGACTCAGTGTCTGGTGAGGAGGGCGTGGTGTGGCGTGGCATGGAAAGGCGTGGCATGGAATGGCGTGGCGTGGCGTGGCTATGGGCACTGTCTTCAGTTAGAGGTGCAAGGCAAGACAGCGTCTCTCCCAGAGCTGGTCGATTAGACAGCCTGAGATACAAGGAGGTGACACGCATGTACACACGCACACACATGTGCGCCCGCAGGTAGAAGGTCACCCACGGAGGGATCCTACTGCTTTCTGCTGTGGTTACTTACTACGTTTTCACTTAGTGCCATCCGGGGACCAGCGCGCTTTCCTGTGCACATTTGTGCGATGAGGCCCTCACTCCCAGCCCTGCCAATGGCCTGGAATGTTCTAACTAGCCAGGCTGCACTGGCGCTGTGTATGTAGATCCCTCAACATAGGATCGTGTTTTGAATCGAATCCCTGGAAAGGCATTCTCCGGCCCTTTGGTTTTCAGGGACTGGCCCCGGATCTGGGGTGAGCACTCACTACACTGAGGGGCCTCTGAGACGTCATTTCTTTCCTGGAATGTGGAAGCAAGATGAAGCCCGAACCTCCGGCTGCCCGGTCCGGCCGGGGCCCTGGGCATGGAGTGTGGGTCCAGCCGGCAGGTCCTGGCGCGCTCCGGCTCATGGCTTGTGGGTCTGGCACACCGGCCTCGGGGAGCGGAGGGACAAGGACCTGTGTCATTTGTTTTTTTGTTTTTTTTTTTTTTTGGGTCCGGTCGTGGGGCCTGAACTCTGGGCCTGGGCGCTGTCCCTCAGCTCTTCAGCTCAAGCCTAGCACTCTACCACTTGAGCCACAGCGCCACTTCCGGGTTTTTTCTTTTTGCTTATGTGGTGCTGAGGAATCGGACCCAGGGCCTCATGCATGCAAGGCAAGCGCTCTACCACTGAGCCACCTTCCCAGCCCCGTGTCATTTGTTTTGTAAGTACAAGTCACACACCGAGGGTTGCAATGGCCTGGTATAATAGGCCAGTTCTTCAGGGCTGGCAGAATAGGTGGCTATTGACATGTGGCATTTGTAAGTACACCCACTGTTCACACATAGAGAATGGGCTGTGTGTCCTGTGCACGCGCACACACACACACACACACACACACACACACGCACGCAATGCACACAATGGGCTGTGTGTACCGTGTTAACGAACCCAGTTTTAGTAGCTTGAATAAGGAGCATTTGCTTCCTGTCCACTCATGCCCCGTGGCCCGATGTTGGTGGGAGTCCCGTGGCCTGCTGCCCACAGACCAAGGCCAAACTCTCTTTGTGGGCATCACAGCTTGCAAGCACACAGCCTGTCATCTTAACCTGCCTGTCATCACCTAAAGCCAATCATGGTCCCTGTCGCAGAATTTCCAGAAGGGCGGAGGGGGTGGGGGCCTCCTATGTGGAGTTAAAGGAACAAGGCAGGGTAGGAGCTGCTGTAGTGATTAGTGCCTCTGTAGTGATTAGCCCTCTCTCCCATTCTCCTCTCTCCCTCCCTCCCTCCCTCCCTCCCTCCCTCCCTCCCTCCCTCCCTCCCTCCCTCCCTCCCTCCGCCTGTTCCCTTTTTGTGTTTTGCTCTTTCCCTGGCCTGTGCTCACACCCAGGTGAGAGGTATCTTCCCAGGCTGGAGCAAAGCCGAAGGCCCAGAGGCTGGGGAGGATGTGGCTAAGGGCACTTGCATTTTTTGTGTGTTTTCTTATCCCCCGCCCCACTCTGTTTTCCTGACAATCTTAAGAGCTTTCATTATTCTGTTTCCTTACATGCAGGTGATGTGCTTTGTTCATGCTTGTCCGCTGTTACCCCCCTTTCCCCCCAGACTCCAGTGAGGACTGGAGTTGTGGCTCAAGTGAGAAAGAAATCCCATTACTATACCCCCCCCCCAAAAAAAACCAAAAGAGTGAGCCAGGTATGGTGGCACATGACTCTAATTCTAGCTACCTGAGAGGGTTCAGACAGCCTGAGGGGTACTAGGAGGGAGGTGATGGTGCATGTCTATAGTCTCAGATACTAGAAAGGCCGGAGGAGAGGAGGCTCACAGTCTGAGGCCTGTTCGTGATAAAAGTGCAAGACCCTAATGAAACTGTGGTTTGGTTCAAGTGGTAGAGCATCTTCCTAGCAAGAACACGGCCTGGAGCCCAGACTTCAGTACTACCACCACCACAACAGGAAAATGCGATGGCAAAGTAAGAAATCGAGTGGCAGGTACAGGGAAAGGAACCACAAGTCCCTTTGTGAACATCAGGGCCTTTGGGACAGCCCAAAGCTCGCTAGGTTTTGTGTTGATTGCATGTTGAAATGGCAATGTTTTATATGTGTGTGTGTGTGTGTATGTAGTATTAAGTAGCATACATGATTAGGATTAACTTGTTCTTTTTTATTTAATATGACTCTTTTTGGGGGTCTTGGGGCTTGAGTTCTGGGCCTTGTGCTTGCTGGGCAGGTGCTGTATCACTTAAGCCATTGCCTAGCCTTTGTCTTTATTTGTTTTTTTGAATAGGATCTCACTTCTTACCTGGACTGGCTTGGGTCCTGATTTTCCTATGTACACCAAAGGAGTGGCTGGGAAAACAGATGTACCCTACTGTGCCTAGCTTTTCATTGGTGGAGATGGGGTCTCATGAGCCTCTTGCATGTAGGCCTTGAGCTATGAGGCTCCCAGTGGCTGCCTCCTAAGTAGCAGGACTAAAGGTGTGAGCCAGAGCACCCAGCTTGTTCTTGTCTTTATTAGTGTGGTCGTAGAACATGTTCAGCAACATTTGTGGCTCCCAGTATCTTTCTTCTAGACAGTGTCTGAATGAGGAAGAGATCGGAGATGGCCAGTCCTGGAAGCGCCTGGCAGAGGCATGGAGTTGTTCATTCCCCAAAGAATGATAGTACTCCTTGGACTTGAACGGAGCAGACAGGACACTGTGGCCACAGGCGCCCCTTAGAGCTGCCACTGAAATCCGTCCTGTCGTTAAGTCCTGACATGAAGCCAATAGAGAGGATATTGCCGTTGTACACCAAGGGAGTCCCTGAACTCAGTCCTAGAAGAGTCAGTGTCGACACATGGTTTAGTACATTATCTTTCCAGCTCTGTTCTTGGGCCTGAGAAACAACTGTATTAGCTTCGGATAACAGCTGGGCCACCCCACGGTTCTGGAGACCAGCAGCGTGCAGCCACGGGGTCGTGGGTAACGGGCTGTGCTCTCTAGATCCAGCCTGGCTGCCACTGTCAGCCCTTGGTGATACCTCGCTCCAGCCTCTGTTTTCTTGCGGGCTTCTCCGTGTGTGTCTGTCACTTCTCATCTCCTCCCCTGGCCCCCCCCCCCCTCACCTCTCCTCCCCTTATTCAGCCACCATTGGTACTGAGTCAGGGATCTCCTCTACGTTAGCTCAACCTCAACACAGTGTCCAAAGACCAGGTCACTGTTGGAGCATCTGGGGTGAGGGCGATGGTGCATCTTCTCCTTCCCTTGGGAGGGGGACACAGAGATGCTTTTCCTGGGATGTGTCGGTGCCTCTGCTTCCTCTCACCGGAGGCTGGGCTGCCCTAGGCTCCCGGCCCTGGTGGGTGTCAACCTGCTTTCAGCAGAGGTTGCTTGGAGACTGCATGGAGAGGGCAGTGGCTTAGGCCCAGCGGGGCTTGGAGATGGACAAGCAGGGGCTTGTCCCCTGCAGCTGCCCCTGTGCCTTGCAGTCCGCGTGGGACACCCGCATTCCGGGCGAGTGTCTGCCCTCGGAGGGCTGCGTGAGGGACAGGATGGGGCATCGGTGTCCAGCAGCCTTCATGGTGGCCTCTTACGCTGCAGTGCAGATGCCCACGGGGACAATGGGTGCCAGGCACCCCCTTGGCCTCCTGGCCACGATCACGGGATAGCCACTGGCCACCACGTCCCACTTGTCACCATGTCCCACTGGTCACCATGTCCCACTTGTCATCGTCAGAGCCCCACGGGACCTTGCTCCTGGGCCTGGACCCCCAGATGTGGGTGCTGAAGTGCCGATGGCGCCCACAGCAGCCCCCCCCTCCATTAGAAGGCGCGGGATGGGCCGTCCTCGCGTGGAGGAGCTGCTCAGACCCCGCTCCCTGACGCCAGGGAGCGCCCGCAGCTGGCAGGCCTCTGTGGTGACCCGCTTCCCTTCTTCATTTGTAGACCTGCCTGCTGGTCGCCTGCTGCCACGGCTTTGTGGACGTAGTGGTGGTCTTGGCAGAGTGTCCCCACGTTGACGTCAACTGGCAGGACAGCGAGGGCAACACGGCTCTCATCACGGCTGCGCAGGCAGGTAAGCGCGGCCGCGGCTCCTCACGGTGCCTGGGGGGGCGGGGGGCGGGGGGGGCATTGGCCTTGAGCGGCAGCCGCCGTGGACAGCACTGGGTGTGGGGTACACGGACTGCCCACGGCAGCCAGCCCTCCTGCGCACGCGGGCGCCGCTCCGTGCATGGAGAGCGCGACGAAACACCAGGACTACCTCAGAGCATTGGTGTGGACGGGTGAGACACAGTGAGAGTGAGTTCTGTGCAAGTGACGTGGCCTGGGGTCTGTCAGCGGTCTCTAGAGACCACAGCGTGATGTCACCATCGCCACGAGCACTGAATTATGTCCTCCTCTCCCCTCCCCTTCTCTCGCTCCTCTCCTCTCCCCTCCTCCTCTCCTCTGTTATCTTCCCTCCCCTCTTCCCCTCTCCCCCACCCATCTTCCCTCCCCTCCCCTCCCCTCCCCTCCCCTCCCCTCCCCTCCCCTCCCCTCCCCTTCCCTTCCCTTCCTCTCCCTCTCCCCTCCCCCCCCCTTTTTTTGCCCTTCCTGGGGTTTGAACTCAGGGCCTGGGCGCTGCCCCTGAGCCTCTTTGGGCTGAAGGCCAGTGCTCCACCACTTGAGCCACAGAGCTATATCCAGCTTTTTTGAGTAGTAGCTGCTTGTAGATAAGAGTCTCATAGGAACTTTGCTGCCCGGGCTGGGTTTGAACCACAGTCCTCAGATCTAAGACTACTGAGTGGCTGGGATGACAGGCATGAGCCATTGGCGCCCTGAGCCACTGGCGCCCGGCTTCTCCTTCTTTTTTCCTCCTTTCCCCCTCCCTTCCCCTTCCTTTGACATACTAAAGATTACAGTCCACCTTTTGTATCTTCAGATTCCAAAGCTGCAACCACAGTATCAGGACAGGCATGGTGGCTCATGCCTATAGTCATAGCACTTGGGAGGCAAAGCAGGAGAATTTTGGGTTTGAGGCACCCTAGGCTACCTGGAGACCCCCCCCCCACTTCTCTCTCTCACCCCCCCCCACACGCACACACAGAGTTTCCGTAGTGAGCAGTGTGTCCTCTGTCCTGGGGTGGAGTGTGTTGCGTGCCCTCTGCTCGGTCAGGGCTCAGCCGCCTGCTGCCGCGCTGGCTGACGGGAAGGAGGGCGTTGGGAGGTGGAGGGGTGCAGGCAGCTCACACCTGGACAGGGATTGAGATGGTTGAGCACTGGACTCCGAGCCTGGAGGCTCAGGAGCTGTGTGTGCTGTGCTGTGCTGTGCTGTGCTGTGCTGTGCGTGGCCCATGCCTCCAGGGAGACTTTTGTCCCTTCTTGCTTCACGAGTTCCACGCGAGTGGGTCTGGTGTGGGGGACCCCGGGAGCCTGCCACGTCCTTCCCCATGGGGTAACTGCCCCTCACTGGTGAGTCAGGACAGGGTGTGGTCACCCCTAAACTGGCAGTGCCCGCATGTGTCCTGTTTCGGGTTCAAGCGGGAGCTTGGTCTCTGTTGGGGACCAGGCTCTGGAAGCCGGGCTGGGGAGTGTGAGGTGTCTGTGACTCCAGGGTCCCCCGTGGGCCAGGCGTGACCACGAATGTGTTGTTCCACAGCTCACAGGACAGAGGACAGAGCCGCGGAGCCCGTGGCGCGGCCGGGCTCGGGTGGAGGCTGCGCTGTGTGGGGGACTGGGGCGCTGTCCAGCCTGGCTGTGCAGGACGGGGTCGGGGAGAGGGCCGAGCTGAGTGCTAGGAAGCGGAGGCCGGCCTTTGTCGCTTGGGCCAAGATGGAGCTGGCGGGTCTCAGGAGTGGAGGTGAGGTGTGGGGCAGGGTCTCAGGAGTGGAGGTGTGAGGTGTGGGGCAGGTCTCAGGAGTGGAGGTGAGGCGTGGGGCAGGTTTCAGGAGTGGAGGTGAGGCGTGGGGCAGGTCTCAGGAGTGGAGGTGAGGTGTGGGGCAGGTCTCAGGAGTGGAGGTGAGGCGTGGGGCAGGGTCTCAGGAGTGGAGGTGTGAGGTGTGGGGCAGGTCTCAGGAGTGGAGGTGAGGCGTGGGGCAGGGTCTCAGGAGTGGAGGTGAGGCGTGGGGCAGGGTCTCAGGAGTGGAGGTGAGGCGTGGGGCAGGGTCTCAGGAGTGGAGGTGAGGCGTGGGGCAGGGTCTCAGGAGTGGAGGTGAGGCGTGGGGCAGGGTCTCAGGAGTGGAGGTGAGGTGTGGGGCAGGGTCTCAGGAGTGGAGGTGAGGTGTGGGGCAGGGTCTCAGGAGTGGAGGTGAGGTGTGGGGCAGGGTCTCAGGAATGGAGGTGAGGCGTGGGGCAGGGTCTCAGGAGTGGAGGTGAGGTGTGGGGCAGGTCTCAGGAGTGGAGGTGTGAGGCGTGGGGCAGGGTCTCAGGAGTGGAGGTGTGAGGTGTGGGGCAGGTCTCAGGAGTGGAGGTGAGGCGTGGGGCAGGTCTCAGGAGTGGAGGTGAGGCGTGGGGCAGGTCTCAGGAGTGGAGGTGAGGTGTGGGGCAGGTCTCAGGAGTGGAGGTGAGGCGTGGGGCAGGGTCTCAGGAGTGGAGGTGAGGCGTGGGGCAGGGTCTCAGGAGTGGAGGTGTGAGGTGTGGGGCAGGGTCTCAGGAGTGGAGGTGAGGCGTGGGGCAGGGTCTCAGGAGTGGAGGTGTGAGGTGTGGGGCAGGTCTCAGGAGTGGAGGTGAGGTGTGGGGCAGGGTCTCAGGAGTGGAGGTGAGGTGTGGGGCAGGGTCTCAGGAGTGGAGGTGAGGTGTGGGGCAGGTCTCAGGAGTGGAGGTGAGGCGTGGGGCAGGGTCTCAGGAGTGGAGGTGAGGCGTGGGGCAGGGTCTCAGGAGTGGAGGTGAGGTGTGGGGCAGGTCTCAGGAGTGGAGGTGTGAGGCGTGGGGCAGGGTCTCAGGAGTGGAGGTGTGAGGTGTGGGGCAGGTCTCAGGAGTGGAGGTGAGGCGTGGGGCAGGTCTCAGGAGTGGAGGTGAGGCGTGGGGCAGGTCTCAGGAGTGGAGGTGAGGTGTGGGGCAGGTCTCAGGAGTGGAGGTGAGGCGTGGGGCAGGGTCTCAGGAGTGGAGGTGAGGCGTGAGGCAGGGTCTCAGGAGTGGAGGTGTGAGGTGTGGGGCAGGGTCTCAGGAGTGGAGGTGAGGCGTGGGGCAGGGTCTCAGGAGTGGAGGTGTGAGGTGTGGGGCAGGTCTCAGGAGTGGAGGTGAGGTGTGGGGCAGGGTCTCAGGAGTGGAGGTGAGGTGTGGGGCAGGGTCTCAGGAGTGGAGGTGAGGTGTGGGGCAGGTCTCAGGAGTGGAGGTGAGGCGTGGGGCAGGGTCTCAGGAGTGGAGGTGAGGCGTGGGGCAGGGTCTCAGGAGTGGAGGTGAGGTGTGGGGCAGGTCTCAGGAGTGGAGGTGAGGCGTGGGGCAGGTCTCAGGAGTGGAGGTGAGGTGTGGGGCAGGTCTCAGGAGTGGAGGTGAGGCGTGGGGCAGGGTCTCAGGAGTGGAGGTGAGGTGTGGGGCAGGGTCTCAGGAGTGGAGGTGAGGCGTGGGGCAGGGTCTCAGGAGTGGAGGTGAGGCGTGGGGCAGGGTCTCAGGAGTGGAGGTGAGGCGTGGGGCAGGGTCTCAGGAGTGGAGGTGAGGTGTGGGGCAGGTCTCAGGAGTGGAGGTGAGGCGTGGGGCAGGGTCTCAGGAGTGGAGGTGAGGGCATGGGAGAGTCTCAGGAGTGGAGGTGTGAGGTGTGGGGCAGGTCTCAGGAGTGGAGGTGTGAGGTGTGGGGCAGGTCTCAGGAGTGGAGGTGAGGTGTGGGGCAGGGTCTCAGGAGTGGAGGTGAGGCGTGGGGCAGGGTCTCAGGAGTGGAGGTGAGGCGTGGGGCAGGGTCTCAGGAGTGGAGGTGAGGGCATGGGGCAGGTCTCAGGAGTGGAGGTGAGGCGTGGGGCAGGGTCTCAGGAGTGGAGGTGAGGGCATGGGGCAGAGTCTCAGGAGTGGAGGTGTGAGGTGTGGGGCAGGTCTCAGGAGTGGAGGTGAGGCGTGGGGCAGGGTCTCAGGAGTGGAGGTGAGGTGTGGGGCAGGTCTCAGGAGTGGAGGTGTGAGGCGAGGGGCAGGGTCTCAGGAGTGGAGGTGTGAGGTGTGGGGCAGGTCTCAGGAGTGGAGGTGAGGCGTGGGGCAGGTCTCAGGAGTGGAGGTGAGGCGTGGGGCAGGTCTCAGGAGTGGAGGTGAGGTGTGGGGCAGGTCTCAGGAGTGGAGGTGAGGCGTGGGGCAGGGTCTCAGGATTGGAGGTGTGAGGTGTGGGGCAGGTCTCAGGAGTGGAGGTGAGGTGTGGGGCAGGGTCTCAGGAGTGGAGGTGAGGTGTGGGGCAGGGTCTCAGGAGTGGAGATGAGGTGTGGGGCAGGGTCTCAGGAGTGGAGGTGAGGCGTGGGGCAGGGTCTCAGGAGTGGAGGTGAGGCGTGGGGCAGAGTCTCAGGAGTGGAGGTGAGGTGTGGGGCAGGTCTCAGGAGTGGAGGTGAGGCGTGGGGCAGGGTCTCAGGAGTGGAGGTGAGGTGTGGGGCAGGGTCTCAGGAGTGGAGGTGAGGTGTGGGGCAGGTCTCAGGAGTGGAGGTGAGGCGTGGGGCAGGGTCTCAGGAGTGGAGGTGAGGGCATGGGGCAGAGTCTCAGGAGTGGAGGTGTGAGGTGTGGGGCAGGTCTCAGGAGTGGAGGTGTGAGGTGTGGGGCAGGTCTCAGGAGTGGAGGTGAGGTGTGGGGCAGGGTCTCAGGAGTGGAGGTGAGGCGTGGGGCAGGGTCTCAGGAGTGGAGGTGAGGCGTGGGGCAGGGTCTCAGGAGTGGAGGTGAGGGCATGGGGCAGAGTCTCAGGAGTGGAGGTGAGGTGTGGGGCAGGTCTCAGGAGTGGAGGTGAGGCGTGGGGCAGGTCTCAGGAGTGGAGGTGAGGGCATGGGGCAGAGTCTCAGGAGTGGAGGTGAGGTGTGGGGCAGGTCTCAGGAGTGGAGGTGAGGTGTGGGGCAGGTCTCAGGAGTGGAGGTGAGGCGTGGGGCAGGGTCTCAGGAGTGGAGGTGAGGGCATGGGGCAGAGTCTCAGGAGTGGAGGTGT